TTTTTTATACACGATTTATTGAAAATTCTTTGATTCACTGAGTTCCACTTTGTTCATTTGGCACGTTGATTTATATGTTTTTGGGAATTCTAGAAGAACATTGACTCATACTTGCTTGCATTCGTTGAGATTAACTAGAACTTGTTTCGGTTGCTTATTTATATTTCTTCTCTGCGCTTTTCTCTACTGGTTTTATGAAAGTCGATTTTGCCTAGATTGGATCTGAATGGGATGTCCGGCGAGGATGACTGGTTAGTACAGGCAGCGGCTCGTGAAGCTCCTGACATGCTTCATCCAGCGCCTGACTCGTTCGAGGTCTGTATCTTTGCACTTTTATTTATGCCGTAGCTTCTTTTCATGAAGTATTGTTTATTATTTCTGCGCTTTGCCCTAATTGCCGTAATATACACCAGATGACTCATTTTTTGTTAATAATGAAAATAATATTAATAACAATCACCTACCTTTTTTAAAAATTTAACGGAATGGTTTGTTTGTTTATACTCCGAGCTTTGTCATTAGTTTCGGCTGGTTAAAAGCATCGCTATGAAACAGATGATCTATCGAAAGTTTGTTTCTGGACAGTTTCTCAATTTCTAACTATTAGCAATGACGCACGCTCACCAGCTGTGCTATCAGCCTATCAGAGAATCAAGTGCTCTGCTGACAGACCTTCTTGCACGTGAGAAGAGTACGGAATCCGTGCTGTGCTGCTATATAATTTGGTAACGCTTAGATTTGAGGAACCACAGAAGAAAGTGGCGCAATTATTTATGATATTTTACAGTGGCATATGTGTCTTAAAATCTGCTGATCGTATTAATCCACATTTTAGGACTCGGATCGATTCGAAGGTGATTCTGAGTGTTCTTGGGTTTCAAGTGAAAGCATTACGCTAGCAAAAAATTGGCGAGGATGGTCGCAATCCTCTGCAGGAGAGTCCCTACAGTCAGGTATATAAATTTCCATTCTATTCTATTAATTTGGCGATTAGTTAGATGCATCTTAACACAATATCAATATGTATTTCAGGGATGCAGTCATGTATCTATCCATATCAGAACAACTACTCTCACTCGGGTCGTTACTCGTCCTCATCGAATGCCGTCCCTCAACGCAGCGTTCTAGCTGAAAAAGGTTTATACTGAGTTTCACTAAGAGCCTAAATTAGCTTCCTTCCCAAATTTTGATGCAGATCATTCATTCTGTGAGATAATCGCCTTACCTTTCTTTTTCGTAAATAATTATTCGCTTCAGCCACAAGAACAGTCTCCTCACT